AAAAAGGCAAATTCAGTATTGAAGTAGATAATGCTAGGTTTCAAGTGTGTTAATAAGCTGCTGCTACATAAATAAAAACTTGGAAGTTTTCTCTATCATCAGAAAAAAAATCAGCTCATTTGGTTAGAATACAGTGGAGATATGCAATTTTCTTTTTGGTAGGTGACTTTTGGGACACCCTGTACTTGAATACTAGTTGGAAAAGTGCTTGAGCAGTGCTGGAAAAGCAACGAAAAATAGTTTTTGAAATGTAGTTGAAGAAAGTATTCAAAGACTGTTTAGAAAATTCTTGAAAAGTAGTGAGAAAAATGTTTGAGGAACGCTGGTGCATGTAAAAGTTGGTTGGGAAAGTGCTTCAAAAGCTCTTGAGAAGTGCTTGAAAAGTGTTACAGATGTACTTGGGAAAGTGCTTGAAAAGTCGTAGATACAAGTGCTAATTAAATACAGCTTGATTACGTTAATTTGGATAGTTTTGTACAGTTGGCTATGTTCATGTAGAACCTCGGAAATTTCTTATTTTGATATACTTGGATAGAGCATCGATTACTCTATCAAACCATATAGTCTTCGTCTGATTTTATTAACATCTTTTCCAAAAATTTCATGAATTTCGAAAAGCATCCAGTAAAGTGTTTTTTTACATAGCAATTTTCATATAATTTCTGAGATAGTTTTTTTTATGACTATTATTTACTGAGATACTGAAACCTTTTACTTTCATATAGAAAATTGACCGTTCGTTTCTCTATCGAACAACATATTTTTCGATGGACCTATTTCATATTTCTACTATAAACTTAGTGAACTTCTAAAAAAGGTGTTTTGTGAACCTTTTTTCGGATATAGTTTTCGACTTTTTTCGAAGAAATTTTGGTTTTTTAAACATCTAATCTTCTTTTTTTGGACATATACCTGAACAGAGCATTGATTGCTCTATTGATTTACATAAAATTGGATCAAATTTTCGTCGAGTCTTACAAGTAGGTTTGTGCGAAAAGTAACTCGAACTTTGTTCTTCATTGTTACAAAAATGGGTCCAAATTTAACAGTAAAGATTATTTTTCTCAGTTTCGAATCCGTTTTGTTTAATATGTTTGGCACGAGGAATTGTAGTACGTCTTTTTCATTTGAAGTAATTTTCATAATTATTGAGTTACTGATGCTGAAATATGAACATGCAAAAGTTTTGTTTCAATGCTTCTCGGACTTCATCAAATTTTTGTATAAGGTATAAAATAAATAAAATAAAAACTATATAATTTGATGGAATACTTGATGCTATATCCGGCAATATGAAAATAAGAAATCTGCGATGTTTTGCACAAAAATACAGCAAAACTCACAAAACTATCAAAAATAATGTAATCAAGCTGTAGTAGTTGGTTAAAGTGGACGCATGAAATAACTGATGAGTAAATAGGAAGACCAATTGTGACCAGCTAACTGATCCAGTTAACTAATACACTAGTTTATCGTAGTTGGTGCATGCCTAGCCAGTACTGCACGTCATAGTCTATAAAAGCGAAAATATCATTTCATTTCTTACTCCTTTTGTCTATTAACCCTTTCAATCCGGCATGTCATCTACGAGATGGCATACAGAACGCAAAGAAATGTTTTTCATTTTGTTGTCTTATAAGACGACAACTATCATATGTTCGATATATGAAGAAAAAGATGAAGGATCTGAATGATAACAAAATGGCAGTTATTGATATTGTTCATGACTACATGTTTTGTGGTTGTTTCATTTCTTTATTGAGATACATTCTGGTTCTGAATCACATTTACTTTTTAGTTTATTATTCTTTAATTTTGTTTACTTGAAATAAGGTGACATTTTTCAAAGCAGCCTAGAAAACAAAAACCTGATTCTCCATCACAAGTTTTGCTCTGATAAATAGTCATTTTCCAAATTTTATTCATGTGACAAAACGCGCATCTTTTTTGTTTGTAATGACTCGACCGAGAATCAATATCAGTTTTGCCTAGAACAGAAGCATGTATATAGTAAAACAAAAATCTAATATGCCAATAAAAAATTTGATATGAAAAATGTTGAATTATTCTCGTCGTCATTTTCAAACTACGATCAATAGAATGCTGTGAACTGGATCGCTTTGGTTTCTGTGGAAAATCTCTCGCCGACTTTCTTGCAATTCCCGTTTCTTCCATTGTTTCACGTACATAACTCGAAAAAAAATATTTCTTATCATTTCATATTCTACTATACCTCATCAAAAAATCGTCCAGCGTATTATTGGATTTTAGCTCATTGTACATGATATAAGAATTGAATAAGAGTCGAGTGATAAAATGTAGAGCTAATTTGATAAACCATCGATATGTTTTTCTACCAATCAATGTGTGATGCAGAGCACTATCCGACAAGTCAACACCTCCCGTATTTTTGTTATAGTCGGTGATACTACTAGGCTTCAAAATGTTTTTTTTGAGACCACCTATGATCAAATTTTCTTCAATGATTCGAATGGGAAATAATCTTACCCTTTTCGTATCGTTCCAGCAATGAAGTTTCAGCGATTCCTTTTGAATCGATCAAAAAAATTTCTTTTTCACCACTTGCTTTCTTATCTTAAAATCTCACTAACTGAAGTTCACCAGTTCGCATGAAAGCGGAATCAGGCGCTTTCATTTTATTCATAGTAAGTTCCTTTGGAACACCTGATAATAAATTGAAAATATTTTCATCAGTATTGCAAACAAATGTGTATTTTTTTTAATTACAAGATTTTTGTCGTTTTATTCAATAATTGAATACTCAATCTATTCATTGAATGGCTTCATCATCATCATCATTATCCTCTCGACCAATCAAATGTTTTGTAGACAATGTTGAAGCGTCGAAGGAGAATATTTTACCAAGAATGGGGATGAACTTGGAACACAATATATTTCAAATAAAAATTATAGACATGTTCAAAGATGTCGATTTGGTGGCACCTACTCAGCTTCTTGGTAAATAAATTTGCTACTAAACGACCCAAAAGCCAACAAAATTCAGTTTTTTTGATATGAATACATATAGTAAAAAGAATTTTCATCTCATTGCAGGTAACCTGAAATAAATATGTTTGCTAAACATATAGTTACATTTTGAAGTTGATTTTATCTCACTTCACACCAAGATTTATCGTTATTTGTGAGTATATTGGCGAAGTGTCGTTTGGCACGAAGATTTGTGCATTCTGTAATATGGTTGAAAAGAGAATCGGGCAAAATCTTTTTGTAAAAGTTCGATGGCATCGGACATGCTGGAAGAGAGAACGTCGGCCCTGACGGCTCATTGAAATCAGGTAAGGGTTTAGGTCGATAATCAGTTCCTTCTGCAACAAATGTCCATTGTTCTTCTAACATTGTTCTCCTATTCTTTGGCTCTGTTGGTATCACTTTCGACGGATATATGTTCTCGTCGTCACTGTAAAATAGTGTAATTAGAGATTGTACGACATACTAACTATTTTATCACCTGTATTCTTCGCTTTATTCTGCTCTGAATTTTATTGATTCTTTCTCACGAGCAAAAGAATTTGAGCTCACATTCGTTAATGACTGTAATATTTGACTCGTTTGAAATGTAGCATCATCATCACTATAATTTATTGAAATTTGTAAATTTTGAAATAGAACATGTCATTTATCACCTGTATTCGTCACTTTCAGTGTTACATATTAGTTTTATCTCATCTGCAATTTCATCAACGTCAGATTCATCGAGAGCGTTTGTGTAATTGTCTTCGTCATTATCATGTACGAGAATATCTTCTTTGCTGTACGAAATTTTGAATTTTTGAAAACAAAATTATATGCTTTTTTCTTTCCTGAAGTACTTTATATTCTTCAATATTATAGTCTTTACAAGTTCAGTCTATTCATTACACGTGTCTCATTATTCGCAACATCAAGTTCTTGTCATTTCTTATGACTAGAAATAATAACACTAGATTTCATACACAGCTGATCGTAACGACAGAATGCAAGAGAGATAATTATTTATCTATTTTTCGTATTCGTGCAGAACACAAGAAAATGTCAGGATTGAAAGGGTTAAGCATTTTGTTCTTTGACGTTACAGATAAATACAATACAAAAGACTGTCTTGTAGAAAAGAAAATTATTATTGATTATGTATATGAGTAATTATGACTTTGAATAACAAAATACATAAATAAATCATATATACAGGGTGGCCCAAAAGTCACGTTACCGAAAAAAAATTTCATATCTCCATTACGGCTCAAGCAAACGAACTGATTTTTTTATCAATTCAAGAGGCATGTTCAAGGTTTATATCCATAAAGACATGCCTGTATAGATCCCTTGTTAAATGTCGATATTGACCTCCACAAAAAAAAATTCACTTTCTCACAGATTGGAAAAAACCCATATAGAATAGCCCAAAAGCTCTGTTGCTAAAAATAAAAATTTTCATATATCCATTACGGCATGAGCAAACTAGTTGATATTTTTATCAATGGTAGAGATATGTTCAAGCTTTATATTGATAAAGGCATGACTAGAGAAACCCTTTGCTAAGCATATCGTTTTCTTTTCAATCTTTAAAAAAGTGAATTTTTTTTGTTGAGATCAATATCGACACTTAGCAAGGGATCTATATAGGCATATCTTTATGGATATAAACCTTGAACATGCCTCTTGAATTGATAAAAAAGTCAGTTCGTTTGCTTGAGCCGTAATGGAGATATGAAATTTTTTTTCGGTAACGTGACTTTTGGGCCACCCTGTAAATGTACGGCATGGGCATGGAAAGAAAGTTGCTGGGAGCAGATGTATACCTGATTCACTATCAATACGATCAGAACTGATCAAAAAGAAGTAATCGGAACTGGTACAAAAAAGAAGTTGGTTTCCTTCAGGCGTCTAGTAGAGACTAGTGAGAAAACTATCGAGTCTTCAAGATGAGTGGTTGTCAAAATTAGCGCAGAACTTTTTGCACCAACTGCTATATTAATTTGAAGTACACTTTATATCACACATGACTTCAGTTGTTAAGTTTTGTTATTACATACTAATTTATAGTAATAGATCGATTAATAATTTAATAATAACACAAAATACATTGATAGTTGTTTGATGAACATATTCTTCTAGATCATATCGAAATGGTACAGGTTATAATCGAACATTTTATGAAGCTATTCGACCATTAATATCTCCTATTGCTCTATTTATTTCATCAACTTGGTGGGGACTTGCTTCACCTTATATGATAATGCATAAACATTCGCGAATATTTTTTTCAGCTGTTGGTGCAACTTTTTCAAATATTGCTGTATGTATATGTTGGAGAAGAAATTGAAATTCAGGAAAATTTAAAACTTTCTTAGGACAAATTAAAATTTCAATTTATCCTATAGGGCAATTTTAGATATTTGTGAATGCATAGTAGAAACTTCTTTTTATGTAAAAAATACGAGACTCAAACTAGACAGTTGACCATGTTTTCATTTTTGATGAGTGACATTTTGTACTACACTATTTTTTCTGCCCGACAACATTTTGTTGAACAAGTGTCACTGCAGTTGCATGCTTCAATACATGTAATAGGAATCATCATGGCATTCTTTTATTTTTGTGTACAAATTTTCGTATGTTACAACAGAATGATTAGATTTAATGCCATACATAACATTTCGATCATCAATTCTGATTAATTTAAAATTCTTATACAGTCAGAGTTTGAGCTGAGCATATATCCAGCAATCTCAGAAAACCAGAATTATATCATCATATAATGATTGTCGTATAGAATTCTTATCTCGAAACTGATGATTCAAATCTAGCATATGATCATCAAGTAATTTATAACAGTATCCATATTGATAAGAACTTGATACGAGAATGTCTACTTAAGTAATGTGCAGAACGTTTATTTAAATTAAAAAAATCTATTTCATTCAGATATGCAAACGATTCTACCGGAGGTAAAAGATATTTAATTTTCCTATATGAAAATCTGAAATATGGAGTTCGCAAAACGTGTTCAGAAATATTTGAAATTGTCCTATAAGAAAACTTGAAACTTTAAGTTTTCCTTGAAAAAGTTCCGTTAAAATTGTAATTTCAAGTTGTTCTAGAAGGAATTGAAATTTTAATTTATCCTAAGATAATTTTAAATTTTCGTGAGTTTTAATTTTCCTTCCAACTTATATTAGAATAAGTTATTTTTTTTATTATTATATTGTTTCAGTGTCGTCTTGTTGTTGCACAAATGACAACAACACGTTCAGATGGTTTTAATAATCTACTTTATATATTTGTTCCTATTCAACTGATGTCAGTATATGGTGCACTTACAGAAAGAATGGAATTTATACTTTTATTTCTTTATAATATTTTTGTAATTTTGGCGCATTTACATTATGCTATTTGTGTGGTAAATTTATTTGATAATAAAATTATTTGAATTCTATTAGACAAATTTTTTAGGTTCGACAAATATGTGATCATCTTAATATATTTGCTTTTAATATAACTGATCGTTCAAAACAACCACCACCAACTGAAACTCATATGAAACATTCATAAAAAAAAAGATCTGTTTTTTTCTCCTACTCTTATATTATTATTCATGCTTACATATCTATTGTGTGTTCTATCTTTATTCTCGTATTTCTATTTCATTTATTAGTTAATATAAAAAGATGAATTAAACTTTACACTAGGCTTTGTGCAATATATATATATCTGTTGTTTGTGTTTTGTTTTTGAAAATACAATTACTCTATATGTTTGTTTGTTTTGCTTGTTTATTTTATTTATATATATAAACATAAAGTCGATTGTTTATTGGTTTTTTGTTAGTCAAGGCATATATATATGAGTATGCTTGTGTTTTGTTTCTGTTTAAACTTTTCATTAAAGAAATAGAAAGATCTAATATTTGAACACAAGAGATCAATTGTTTGTTTTTATTACCAGTTTACATCTCTACTGATTTATTTTTCTTTTATTCTGTAACGACATTCATGGCTTGATATTTAATCGACATGAAAAATACTCATGAGTATTAGATATATGGCATAATATTTATGTTTACTTCATTTGCACGCTCACATGAAAACAATGAAACATTTATTATGACTTTTCTTCTATTTCTTTTTGATTACATTGATTAACATTAGAAAGTTTATATCGATGGAATGTTTGTTGATGAGCGCTTATTCCTATAAAAATAAGAAAGAATTAATAAATTTGAATAGTGAATCAGAGAAAAAGATAAAAATGTCTTACATATATTGGTTCAGTATCTCGTTTACTGTTAAGAAAGTAACGTTTGGATTTCAAAAAATATCGTTTAGCATTCAAATGAAATTCATCTTCTTTATTTGGACCATTGACATCATCACTGATGTATAAATTTGACTCACGACGTGTTGGCAAAAATCGTCGTTTAAACATATAACGAATGGATTCCGGTAAATCTTGATCATGATTCAATTGCTATTTATTTAATTAACAGATAAATTAAATTATATAAAACTATTTTACTTACAACCAAGTAATCAGCATCACTGGCATGTGTACCAATGAACAGAGCGAATAAGAAAATAAGAGCAAGACAAAATAAAATCTTCTCGATGGCGAGAGACATGATAACTAAAAGAAATGGTTTTTGTTGTGATGAAAATATATGCGATTGTCTTTATATAGCACCTACTTGCTATTTGTATTTTCTATTAAGAATATGTTTTTTCTATTTTTATTTAGTGAGAAGGGAAGTCAGTTGTCAATGGTCTGAGTGACGTTTTGTATGAGAAGTATTGTTTTTCTCTTCCTCTTTTTTTTCTTTCCCTTTTTTCCACTCACTACATTTTACTAAGTTAATTGATTACATTAATGAAACATCAACTATATATATGTAAATGACCAAATGACAATAATTCGTAAGCAATTGAATGAGTTTAAAACTGAGAAAATCAATTTGACTATGACCAACCCTATTTTTAACAAAATATATGATTAACAGACTAGTTTTCTATTATCAGTTGCATGTTAAGTATTGTGTCTATTTATTTTTCTTGATCGTCATAGCGTAACTGATGTCAATATGTGCACTACCGGAAATTTCTCTTTTTCTTCAGCGTTAAATAGCGGAAATAAAAATAGAAAAGAATTTTTATTATCGATCTCTTGGTTTGTCATTTAATATATAACCAATGAAAAGTAGTACCAGGGAGAAAATTGTTTTGTTGTATCTACAGATATGTTTTTCTCATTGATAATGATAATATGTTACAAAAAAAATGTTGTATATTATAGAAAATGATATTAGAGGTTTAGATTAAATGTAATCAAATTGATGAACAAAATTAGATATCAATTTCCGCAACAAATGTGTTATAGCAGTAAAAGAAATAATTCGTGTATAAAAAATAGAAGTGAAATTAATATTGAATTGATATAAATCATATATTTTAATAATTGTCTTTGTGTTAGTTAAAATGAGCTATGGCTTTTCGACTCCAAGAAAAAAAATTCATGAATTTTTAAGGGAATCAACTGATGAATATATGAAAAAGAGACAAATTGGTCTCTGCGATTATTTTTTGTTAGTAATAGAGATCTCGTTAATGTAACAGACTGTCTACTTCTTTTTGGATCTCATAGAAGTCTCACTATGAAATAATTCATTGTGACTTCATACACTCTAATTGATTCGACATGTGTCATTAATATCAAATGTCATTTCTTTCATGACTTCAAATCAAAGACTAAATTCAGTTGTTTTTTAACGTACTCTTACATTGTAGAATTTACTCAATAATTGCAAAAAGAATATGTATTTTAGAAATTGATTACTTAATGGATAACAAGAAAAAAGAACTACCGAGCACATCGACTTGATGTTGGAAATCAGTTTTAAAAATGCATTGAATAGAAAATCACAGAGTTTAGACGTGCATAAAATATGAAAAACCATTTCAAAATTATTGTTTATAAAATAAGAAATCTTTCAACATATTCTAACTCTCATATATTATCTTTTTGTTTGAATCATTCTGTATAGAGATTACCGGGCTTTACTTTTTTTGATTTGACCACTTGAACTCTGAAAATATACTTTCACGTCTACATTCTATAAATAAATTTCTAATTTGTTTTCTTTGTAATTCCCTAGTTGTTTTGTTTCTTAGTTGTTTTTATTAACATTAATTCATCGAAATAAATAATGAGTTGATCATTACACTTTTTGTTTATATGTTAACAAGTCTCCATTTACTCTTATTGTTTCACTTAATGAAAAATGTAGGAGGCTACCTGACATGTCTTATTAAAGATTCATATTATCTATTTGTTTTTCATTTGCAGGACGAATTATTTTTCTGTTTCTAACAAAGTACTAGGCGAGTTGAGTTTTTCGAATTTGAATCCGAATAATTGATTCATTTTCTTATTAGAAATAATTATTTCCTATGAATATAATTATTGAACAAAAACTATTAATTTTTATAAATGTTAAGTAGAATACTAGGAAGCAACGATAAGACTTCAAGTACTTTAGTCTAAATAAAAGTATGTGAAAACAATTGGTAAACTTAGTTTTCGTAATGCATTGTTAATGTGTAGTTCAAGAATACTTGATCGTTTATTGTTTCTTTGTTGGTTCAGTCAACAGATACAACTGTCTACACTCTCTTTGAATTGAAACAATGTAATGAAAGATGATAACTCTACTGATTGAAGCAGTAGACCGTTATAATGAGGGTAAGTATTATAAAAAAATGAAACAAAAAGAAAGTTTCATTTTTCTGGATTTCATTCAGTGGGACTATCAACAATGTTAAAACATAATCTTAATTATTGTAGAAAGAAAACATATTACCTCAAATATTTGTTCATAACGGCTCATGATGCCATATTTGACAGAAGAATATAGAAAAAATATCATTATTTGATAATTGTTGACATAGATGCACTAAAAGAAAAGAAAAAATCGATTAGTAAAAACCTATTTAAATAATAACATAACAGAAGTTCAATGGTTTTTGAAAAATCCGACTCTACCAATTAAATAACATTCCACCTAAGGCAATAATTCTGGTATCCGTTTTGTAAGTTTCCGAACAGAAAACTCAAAAGAATAGTAGAAATTTGGAAGCAGGAATATGATGATCGTATCTAGTGATCGACACCATTCATATACGAACGATCCCTGCCGAAACCGGAAAAAACCAGTCAACGGGTCTGTACAACGGTGTCCTGCTTTCAAGTTTCTACTACTTGAGGGTGTACTCTCGCTTTGCACTGTTGATCTGGACAATATCCATAGTATATTTTATTTTCAAAAATATAAATACTATTGAAAAGTTTCAAGCATAGCTTTTATCAAATGCACAGGAAATAGAGCGTTCGACATGGAATATATGTGTAATAATTGAGTTTGATATAGTCTAGAAATTTTTCTTAATGTATATGATGTTTTCAAATTGAAATTGTAAGAATAATTATTAGACGACATGAATGTCTAAGTCAAGTTATAGCAATACTGTGTTAAGCTCTTTTTGTCTTCCCAAACGTTATATCTTCTAGTCTGCTTTGTTGTTTTCTTCATGGGACAAATAATCTAAAGTTCTAGTTCCGTTAGAGCATATAAAATATTCTGCAAAATTCGATGGTGTTCAAATATGATCTACCATTTCTCTCTTACTTTAATTCTTCACTTAACAAAACACTCTGTTGCTCTTTGAACTGACAATGATTGATTCTACTGTATTACTAAATCCATGTGACTACATTTCTTTGACTCTATTAGTCTTTTCGAATTGATAGTTTTGTCTCCAATTTAGAATTATGTTTTCAAATAATTAATTATATGCTGATCAGTCTCATATGACTTCGATTTAGGGTATCGCATATTACTTCTTCTGTCAGATCTCAAATATTTTCCGTCCAGTTAAAAATTCAATAATAAACTATGTAACAAACGAGATGATAGACATTTAAAAATAATCGAATTCGGTTTAGTTATAGTATCTATGAATTGAACAATTTAATTAATACAGTTTATTTTCATAAAATTTTCTCCTGAAAGTTTCGATAATGAGGCAGCCAATATCTGTAGAAAAGGAAAGATAAAATTAAATGTTGATAAATATTAAAGTTCTGTATAACAAAAATGTAAATGGTTCGAGGAATTAGATTGAGAAAAGGTTCATTCGTATTGATATTTTTCTTTATCAATAAAAAAAAATGAAGCACTAAATAGAGTTAAAAAGATATATATATATAAATTTGAGTGTGACAACTCGATTATCGAACTAATTTTACTGGTTAATTGAATTAGTGTTGATATATAAATATGTGTCTGCTACGACAATATATTCTCTAATAGATTTGATTTCGGTTGTTCTCACCATTAGAATTGTCTCGTGACATGACCTTATTCAAGGAACACTTAATTTTGATCAATTTGCTGTTTTTGATGAAAATTATGAGCTTCTAATGGTAGAAGCTTGGAGCAAGACTACAGAACAAACAATAATCTCACACCACTTATTATTATGTATTTTTAATAAAATGCTTTCCTCTTTCCGGTCTATTATGTACAGTTTTATTAGTCCATACTCAAGTAACTAATCATTGTGATAGAATACTGGTCAGTGTATTCCATATGACCAAGTCCAGACATCTTCGACTTTTAAGCCAAGAATTATTTTTTGTTCATGGAGTTTGAAATTTAGAAAAGCATCTTTACAATATTCTCACTCGATTAGTGGGTCCATATGCTAACTGACCAGCTTTATGTATTGATTCAGTCGAAGTCGGCGAGATGGCAATTTCAATTCTATTTGCCGACATAAAAGCATATTGAACAAAATTATTTTACATGTTAATCAGGTGCTACCGGTTCAAAAAAGGTTTTGCATCGAAAGAATACATTCATATATAACCGATGACAACCATCCATCGAGCTTATCTCATGTTCAAATGCATTCATTAGCTCTCGTCTATCAAAGAATAAAATCAATCAATCTGGAATTTTCAACAACTCTAAGCATTAACTATGTGCGAACAGAATATTCGATAATAAATTGTAATAAAATGATTTATTTATTAGATAGATAATCGATCAAAAATGTAATTAAACGAGCATACCATACTTAATAAAATTTTCATAATCTGTGTACGGAAGAAAATACCCGTACAGGAAATGCGTCAACATCCTTCATAGCAAGAAAAACAATACACTCGAGCTATATTTTATAGTAAGTTATAGAAATCACGAATACACAAAGTAGCTATTCATCAATATTCACTAAAATTTGACATGTACCAAAATCAGATTTATTTAATAATCATATAGAAATGATCCCTAATAAACAATATATGCATACGATTTCAACTTGATCAATAACAAGAATGATATTCCATTGATAGAATGAATAATTCATTTGTTTCATCACTTCGAAGTAATTCATCTTTCGTCATTGGTTTATCTATGCAAGTCATTATTGTTATATTAGCGAAAAACACATAGTTCATCATCGAATCATAAATTTTCTATAATTGCTTTCGTTCTCAAAAATCTTGTTTTCTATGACAGTTGAACAACTCTGTGATTCAGCTCAACTGACACTGTTCATGATGTTG